GAGATAAATGATAAAGTTACCATATACATCAATTGTAGCTTTAAACTTTTTGGGAATTAGGTGTTGATAGAATGGAACAAAGTCATATGTTGTTACGGGCAGTGAAATGTTGCTAGATGTTCAACACTATCTATATCAGTCTAAAATGAGTCTTGCATAAGTGGGAGATTCAAAGATCTAATATGCTCAAGAATCATATTAAAGTGATATTGCTAATTACAATATGATACTAATGGGTCACACTAACAACTTGATATAATTGATTATTTATTACAAATTGATTTTAAGTATTTAATAAAACTCTTATAAATAAATTGGAAATTATATATTTCTAGGAAATAATAATTTTCATTAGCAAGTAACATTATATTTAATTCATATAGTATGAACTAATAAGTCATGCACAACATTTTGGACTAGACAAATTCTTTTGTCTTTTACCACAAACTTAAAGTTTATATTTTATAAACTTGATTTATAAAATATAAAGCTTTTGCCTTCTTCCTTTTATTATTTATAAAAATAAGATTAAAAAAGGAAGAGTATGGGTTTTTGATTATTTAAATGAGAGAATATATAATAAGAGTATGGATTTTTGATTATTTAAATGAGAGAATGACTCTTTGATTATTTAAATAAAAGCATGGTCTTTTGGTTAGTTTCTTTAAAAAAAGTAGGGTAATGTTTCTAATATAAGTACAAGACTTGAGGATTTCATTTGTTCTTGGATGATATACACCAAGAAAACATAATATATGTAGAGAGAGATGAGACTCTCTCATATTTTGTTCTTGACTTGAAGTTTACTAGCATTTCCTTACTCTCTTTGGTTCATATTTTGATATGAACTAAAGATTAAGAGTTCTTAAGAGTTTATGGACTAGAATCTTTATCAAGTTGAGTCATTATTGATGTCTCAAAGGTTTCACAATCTTCATCAACTTCCAAGCCTCCCAAGTGGACCCAAAGAACTACAAAGCTTGTCATTTCTTCACCTATTCTTTGGTTGATGTTTTAATCTTTCTATAACTTGCAAGAAGATCCTTGGTAGGTATAAAATGTTATGTTATGTTAAAAATTAAGTCTTCCATTGCTATATTTTTCTAATTTATGAAACTATTTTTGAACTAAAACCGAACAGTTTTTTCTTGCCTATTTGATTATGGTTATAAAAAACGCTTTAGGAATTCATTTGTTAGGAGTCATTAACAAATAGGGGTGAGCATGGGTTGGGTTGGGTTGGTTTTTGGGGTTAAACCGAACCCAACCCATGTATTTTCGATTTATAGATTTTAGAAATCGTTGGATTTGGGTTTTGGTCGGTTTTGGTTTTTGGATTCTTGGGTCGGTTTCATCAGTTTTGGGGTTCAACCCATGGGTTGATGGGTTTCAAGTTTAAACCTATGGGTTTCGTGTTGTAACCCATTTCTCAACAAATATTTATAACTTAAAAAATAAAACAAATTTAGCAACCCAGATTAAAGAAACGAAAAAACCAATTTCAACACAAACACAACCTCAAAAGTATGTTGCTAAAAGTTTACAACAATCATGTTTAAAAACGACAAAGTTTAACAAGTTTTTAGAAACAAAAACAAACAACCATATAATAATCTCGTTTTCACTAACACTGTTATATTTGGTGTAATTGAGTACAAAAATTCACCTCCTTTTAAATTTGACGTATATTACCTTTGACATACAAAATAAAATTATAGCATATCATTGAAAAACATGTACTAATCTAAGGTTGGGTTGGTTTCAAACCCAACGGGTTGGATCGGTTTGAGGTACTAAACCGAACCAAAACCCATTTTTCGGTTTTTAAAAATTTAAATCCAAACCCGACGGTTTGGGTTCGATTTCTCAGTTTCGGTTTTTGTTGGTTTTTGGGTTTTCGGGTTCGGTTTTGCTCACATATATTAACAAATGCTATTTACTTGAATTCTCTTACGCCTAGTTCCTGAGTTTTAGCCAAGAAAAGAAAAGAAAAGAAAGTAAGAATATAAAAGAAAGGAAAATAAATTTGTATTCGTGTTCCTGAGTTGGAGAGAAGTGAGAAAATTTAAACATTTTATTCTTTCTGTCCAAATCCTTCCAAACTAGTGAAGAGTGCAACACATGCACGAGTCAGATTTTTTTATTGATGCATGGAACTAGGATGCTATAATTGGTTGACTCTGAAAGTAAGATGCTTAAAAACGAAATAAAGTAAAAGTAGATGTTGAAATTATTAACAATTTATGTTAGGTGCAAAAAATGAAAGTACAATGCTATCATGGACTATACATTGCTATTATTTGTATAAAAAATGATAGTGTAAGTACATTGCTATTAAGGGTTATGAATTTCTATTATATATCTTATCTACCATATCAAAAAAAAAACTTTTAAATCTTTTACGATTATAACGAATCCCAAAAAATCAAAATTACATAATCTTACATACCTACTATCCATATCAAACTCCATCTGAATTTGATATCAGTCAAACGGTTTAGCTTTCAGTCCAATTGGAAAAAAATATTTTGCTTTCATATCTTCAATCAAGACGATTTCTACAAGAGAGGCATAATATAAAATCAGGTTAGTTCCTTTTCAATCACCTGTAATAATCACGTCTCTGAAAACATTTTAATGCCAATGTAGTTTCAACTTTCTATAGATGTGTCATATCTTAATTGTGTTCATGATATACACAATAAAAAGAAAACACATTAATATTGTTTTTGACTAGCTAACTATATACGGGACCCACAAATGGAAGTGTTAGATCACAATAACAACTTATATCTTATGCAAACAAATCCAAGGATGTATTATAAGTATGCCAAATGATATCGATTTTCTGATTATATTTATTAAATAGTAAATAATGTGTAAACTTCCGAGAAAGATATCATGTTTCGAACTTTGGGTGCTTTAGGCATATCCATTAACAAATGAAGCCTTCTTATTTGGAAACAATATTAATAAAAACATTGCTTACAACCTCATCCTTGTCACCTTATTCATTTCTCATCTTTAGAAAACAATGATCGTGAATTAAGCAAATATTTTTAAAAATAAAAAGTTTTATTTGACTCTCAATCTTCGTTTCCAAGTTCTAATCCAACGAACTAAGATAATGATTATTTAGCAAGGGGCATTAGAAATTAGGTAAAATATATAAAATGAAATGTGTACCTCAAATTCTTACAAAATACCAAACTACAAGCATAATCTTGTGCATCTCACAATTTCAAATGGTGATTCCGTTAAGCATACCTGAAGAAAATAGAAGATCAAACTAATATAATCTCGTAGTGAAGCAGGTAAAGATAAAGTAAGGTGGAATGAATACCTTAATTGGCTATGGAATTCCATCGAACGCCTTATAGGCGTCTCTCACATCTAAAAGCAATAACTTTGTGAACCCTTTCCATTTCCCAAACTTGTACTCAGCTTCTCCAACTAAATCCACTTAAATCTTCAATTTCTCATGTCAATAGCACTTCTTTAGTCTCTCGATAAAATTAGAGAGGAAATTAGGGAAGTTTCAAAATTGGAGGGGATTTAAGGCAGACAGAGATAGAGAAGGAAGCTGAAAGTGCTTGCGACTGTTGGTCGTAGGAATCAAAACTAAATCCTCCAAAAATTACGACTATCTCATATTTAGGTCATGAATAACAATCCACCATCTCTGCACCCCACCACCTTACTCCTTCTTCTGTTGGTGCATCTATGTAATTGTAATCAGTAATTGAAAGAATCAAATTAAAATAACCATGTCCGCTTCTCAAACTTCGTTAATCAATTGTCGGAAACCATCGCCACCGGTTTGTGAAGATTAAGGAATCGCAGCCAACCCCTTCGAATTGGGTGGCGGAGACACAAACAATTGAGTGAGGTGCATAGTTCAGGGACAAACTGATGACTATCAAACTCGATGTTAGGTCTCACTGACGCAACTCCTTTATCTCAATGGTAAAATTTGGATACTATTAAAAGATTTATCAATATCTTAGGTTACAAGATTTTTAAGCTGCGATCTCTTCAATCATGATTGCATAAAATAAATAAAAAATATGGATAAATTAGGAAATTTCTCTACTATGTCAATTTCACAATTCATTCAAGTAGCATATTTTCTCTCTCGAAAAAGGCTCTCTCAACCAGCATTGTCCTCAAGCTCACATCATGTCAAAGGTTCTGCACAAGTTTGCTCCTAACGTCAATGTCGTCAAAGGACCTCATGCTCTAATTCTCCTTTTTTCATTCAAGCAAACAATGTGGCATTATCTGATGTTATCCCAAAACAGTTCGTGAACTCAAGAATTTAAGATTTCAACTACATTCAAATAAGCCCTCTTCGATATTCCTTTTGCAACTTCCCATAGAAATTTTACCTTAAGAAAGTATGTGAGTTCTAGTATTCTTGCTCTGTTGATTCTAGTGCTCAAACCATTACCGAAACAATTATAGATGGTCAATATGGGGTTACTATCGATGTAGAATCTTTTCGAACTGCTCTTTGTCTTCCTTGATTAGAAAACTACTCTGAAATTCCTTCTGAAGAAATATGCAAGTCCATTTGTGCAACATTATGGTATAACTTTTCCCTTAGAGCACCACTCGTGATCCATCCAAATGTACTCTTCGTCAGTGTTATGGTGTATGGTGGAAGTAGTTATCAAGGGTGATTGGTAAATGCCTTGGACACAAAACTGGGAGCTAAGATCAATTGAACCTATTAGAGAAAAAAATTAGTATTCCATGGTGTGCAACAAAAAACTAGATTTTGCAAAAAAAAAAAGAAAAAATTTGATCAGTTGATTGAATGTATCACTAGGAACAAGAAGTCAGCATAGGTTCCTTATCCTCGGTGAATTGGTCTAATTTTGGATCCTAATGAAGAGGGTTACAATACCAATCATGGAATAATCATTCCCATTCTTGACCCCTCCTCAAAGATCATCAACACTGCTCCTTCTGATGCAGATAAGCATATTGCCCAAATAATGGCAAATTGGATTGAAAATCCCTACATTGTTGAATCCTCTGATTCTGAAGAAGATAATGATGAGAATTATAATGAAGATAACAAGGAAGGAACTGATGATGAAGAAGACGTTGATGATGAAAAAGACGTTGAAGATGAAGAAAATGAACTTGATATTGATAAGGAAGGAGCCTCTGTTCAGGGAGTGAGTTCTCCTCCAAAAATGAACAAGCACATCCATTTCTCCTATACTTCTTCATCCACTACCTCTACCGATGATATTGTACATTGTGGATCAACCCCACACAAAATGGAAACTACTAATCCATTGATTCAATATGTGAATCCCCCAAGCTCAGCGTCTCCTACTCCTCAAGATGCAACTGCTCCTCCAATGCCAACTCCCCTTTAGACTGCTTTTATTTATCACTAGGAATCCAATTCCAACTTTTAAACTATTGTGTTCTCTCAACTCTATTGGTTCAAATGACTAAATGTAAAGAAATTTACGGTTGATATGAAAGGAATAATGACTTTGGATCATGATGATGTGATGATTGAGGATAAACCTCCAACCTCTCTAGGCAATCCACCTCCATCATAAAATCCCCCTCCACTATCTCATCCCCCTCCTCGCACTCCATGTCTACCACTTGACTCTCCTCCCTAAACTGATGGTGCCAAAAAGAGGGAGACAAATCAAGAGCAAATGGTGACTGCAAAAAATCCATCTCTGCCTGAAATGTGTGAATTAGGAAGGGGTGATAATAAAAAGGAAATTGTTGTAGCTGAATAAGAGAGCAATGATCATCCTATCCCAAATGCTAGTGATCAATCAGAGACCAATGAGTATGAAGGGTTTCTTGATTTGGGGTTTATGGAACAAGTTGTTGCTCCTTTGAGTATTCTTTACCCTAATACATATTTTGAGGGGGAGATTCCTCAAGGAACCAACATCAACATAGAGTCTAATGATGAACACCTTAATTCTAGAAAGAGGAAGGCTTCCTTTTCAGGGGGAGAAAATGACGCTGAAGCTAAAAGTTCCTGTTGTTGGTGGCTTTTTACCTACTAGTGGTTCTTCAGCCCTTCCTCCCAAGGGATGTAGACTGGCATTTGACATAAAAGATTTAGCTGCAGATTAGCAAATTACTATTGAAGAAGTCAGAGAAATCATGTTGGAATATAATGCCTCGGTTAAAAGAAGTAAAGAGGAACGTCAGTCTATCAAACTTGTTTAGCGCTTCGCTTCATCCAATACTTAACAAACCAACATTTAGCATTTCAATGTTGATGTAGCCAAAAGAAACAAAGTATCTGAAATGAATGATAGAATCAATCTTAAGAAATTTGGGAATGTTCTTAGAAGAAGATACCAACCTAATCCCATCATCAAAGTCAGATCCACTAAACCCAAAAACGAATCTCTAAAGTTGTATCTATTGAAAAATAAGGTTAAGTATGAATACACTGAAGTCATATTTTCTCGTGAATTGGTTAAGTATGGCTACAATGAGTGGATACAAATTTAGGAAATAATCTCTAAAAACAAAGGTGTTCATGCTTAGGAGGTAAAGTTGGCCATTCACACACTGATCAACAAAATTCAAAAGTTGAACTTAGTTCCTTCAGTTGGTCCATCCCAACCATCCACCTCAAAAAGAACTAGTAGGCCCTGAATGTCAAAATACACTAAGTTTCTTCTTCCGTATGGCACTTGCTACATCAACAACTAACTGCCAATGAGTGTGGAGCCAGTTTAGCCCATTTTATCTGGGAACCAAAACATGGAATTTTCTATCCTAATAGCCAGAACCAAATGTTATTTCAGCATATTGATGTCCTTCCTAATGCTCCCACCGAGTATTTGTTCAATCTTTGTCTGGAGGGGATGCGACATAAAGAGCTAGAAAGAGGATATCGTGTGCTGATTTCTTTTGAGATCAAAAATCGTTGAACTAATCTTCATCTTGATGACTTCAAATGGTTAAAACCTTAGATCTTGATTGAAGCTGAGAAATTCTCAAATGATGACCTTGATGACTTCGTTGAAGATTAGTTTTGACATCATCAAATAAGGGAGATTTTACGGTCACACCTTATGAACTGATGAGTCAAACACTTTATATGCTGACCACCAGCGCTAGCGCCTCAAGACTTTATCAACTTAAGCGTGAAGATAATGGTCTTATGTAATATTTTATATTAGGAAGTTATATGGATATATATATATATATATATATATATATATATATATATATATATATATATATATATATAATAGATAGTAGATCCGATATCTTTATGATAAGGATCAATTTGTATTATAGATTAGATACAATTCCTTGATTGAACAAATTCACTAGAATAGTTTTGTATATAATCAACATTAGGGTAAAACCTTAATTTAAGTCTTGGTGACCATCGTTTTGACATTCGTTCTCTTGGTGATAACAACTCCTTGGTGTAAGACATCTTTTTGATTACTCGTGTTCTCTATTTTTCTATTTGATCTTTATTAGTTTGTTCTTTGTTAATTATACTTGAAGTGTATCCGATCGATACAAACCTTCATGGAGAAAAGACGTACATATATCATTCGTTTGCATAGTGATAATCATGTTTAGTCTATCTTACTTTGTGATTATGTGTTCTTTTGTTGTAATTATGAGCTAATAACCCTTTGCTTTCATTTAGATTAGATGAACCCTAATACTATTTGTTGATTTCTACTTTTATGGATTATTGAAGTTAGATTTAGCTTATGCTTGATAGATCATGTTAGCATGTTAAAAGCTCACATATTTCTTTCTTTGTCCTCAAGTTTTGTATAGTTAAGTGGGCATTGATTACATGAACTTGTTTACCTAGTTGTTTATGATCATTAAGTTACTAGAGTTAGAGGTTGATCATAACCTAGTATAGGTGGTAAAGTTAGTGACTTATTTGTGTTAATGAGAATTATTAGATCGTAATAATTGCTTGATTATATAATATAGATAATTATTAGATCAAATTATTCATGGCCTAAATATATCTTAAAAATCAGTTTAGTGTTCTTAATTTGCATGAACATTGTAGTTAAACTTTATGAATTGATTTATTCTAGTTATTCTGATCATGATAATTAGTAATCTTTAATTTGGAATCTAACTAAAGTTAATCCATTACTTGAAATAAATCATTGTAAAAGGCGTATTCGAACCTAAATGAAAGTACCTTTTAATTCTTGGTAAAATCACATTTTCTAGTTGTTTTCTTTAACTAGAAGAATATTCAGTAGATTGTTTAAAATTAAGTTTTTCTGAACTTGAAAAATAAGTTAAAAATCCTTTTAATGTTTTCTTCTTTAGTTTAATTATTAATGTTATTTTATTAATTAAAATTCGGTTCCCTGTGTTTGACTCTTACTTATTCTACTTTCTTACTATGCGACTAAGTATACTACATATTGTGTTTTAGTTGAGTCGAATAATTAGGATATAAATTTACAGATTTTAAGTTGTTATATAAAACACTTCATATTCATGCATCCATTCTATAACATAATTTATAACTCACTTTGGGAAACTAGGTAACATCTTGTCTCTATTCATCTTCTCCTTACGATCCAAATTTTGCTTCATACATAAGCATTCATTTCCAAAACCTTTATTCATTACATAGGGCTATTTTCACGTTTATTTTAATTTAGTATCATTATAACACTAAACTAATCATATAGTTTAGGTTGCCAAGTATCACATACTTTCTAGGTTTCATTTTTTAATATATAGCAATTTACTTTCTTTTTACAATTTCACTTTATCTAGCTATATATTTTGATTTTCATAACTATATAATGACTATATTAATATAGTCATTATAATACCATTTACAATCTATTTCACTAGTTACATATGATTTATAAAAGCAAAATGCTTATTGGAAATTTTTGACCTTTTGTCCTAATTTTACAACTTATTCCAAATATCATGGATTTTTTTATGTTTACTCAAGGTTATGTAACCCAATATTGTAAAAATGGTGTTTAGGATTCATATAAATATTCATGATACCTGTTAAAGAAACTTTGTTTTCGACATTTTTTGACAAATTTCTTATTTAGGCATTTTACTTTTCCTTAATCTGTTTTATTAAGTTTTAGCAACTCATGTTATCAACTTTCTGGTACAAGATGTTTTCAAAACAATGCCAATATTTAGATCTTAATATGTCTTTCATTTTTCTTCTATGACACTTCAATAATTTAACTTCTTTTTAAAATCAAGTAAAATTTTATTTTGCTCAACCAAAACTTATCATATTTTGGCTAATACTTATATATTTTATTTTATTAAGTTATTCTAATTTAATTATATTCAATTTGCTTAAGAATATCAAATTCATCAAAAAGTTAACAAAAACTCAACTGATATATTTTTGATAGCACCAAAATGAATCGATAACCAACTCTAAACTCTCATAACTTCTTCATATGTTTTAGAAAATAAACTGAATCAACTTGCAACACCTTCCTATCATTCCAGTCTACATTTTTGGCTCAAGAATGAACTTATATTTATGTGTATAGCTCAAGTTATGCAGCCCTAAAGATACCAGTTGAAAACTATAAATTTCCAGATAGTCAAATTCAACATTTCAGCTTTATGCAAAAATTTACTCAACTATAAACAAGCATATTTAATTCATATGAAGTCGGATTAGTTGGATTCTTTTTGTTATGCTCTTTGTTGTATGGACTACAAGTTAGGAAAAAGAATGAACTGATTTGATTTATTTATGCCTAGGTTACACAGCCTCAAACATGGGTTGTTGGACTTATTTAAATAAAAATTTGGACTTATTTTCCTTTCATTAACACATCGAATTCATGATTCCAATCCAAAATTTTGAGAACTCAACATGTGAGGAACATAATATGAAATTTTATTCTCTTCATAATTATATAAAAATACTCTTTTTCTTTAAATTACTTACATTTGACCAATTTCAAATTTCTTTAACACACTTACGTGAACAACTAAGTTAACATATATCTTGTTCATCTTATAATTCTGATTCTAATTCCATATCATCGTTTGAGAAATTCCTAAATTTAGTATCTCAATTTTTTCTAGCGCTTTAATACTTTTATACTTATCGCGCATAATAAATTATTAGTTCAAATAACTAATTCAAGAAATCATCTATATTTATAACTTTTAACTTAAGGTTTAGAATTACCTGTCAAAATACACAAAGTTTGTAGAGCAAACCTTATGGACTCAATTAAGGAAGCAATGTATTTTGAGTGAAAATCAACTCGTCTCACATCATTTAAAATTTCATTAACTTCTTCCTCATGCATATCGGGTGAAGAATACCATGTAAAAAAAATCCTTCTTCTTCCTTTGGAACCCACAAAAACTC